GTTTCCTGGCTAAATTAAATAATTTTTTTCCACTTCAGCTTGTACATCGCTGTGTTTTACTATCTCACAAACGCTCCTAATATTTTGATTTATGTATTTTGTGTTGGAAGGGACAAGAGAGGAATCTGTTTCATTTCCACCTAGAAAACCCAAGGATCCTTCTGTCTTTGCTACAGTCTATTGCCTATTAAGGCAAGAAGTATTGTAAACACTACACAGTTTTCCAAGGATTCTGACAGCACAATCTTAGGGAAAAAACAAAAACCACAAACCAAATAAAAAAGCCCACATACCATATAACAAATTTTAAAACAATGCAAGATTCTGTTTCTAACCAATAACCTTTTAGTCCTCAAAATGAGCTGTACAAAGCATGAACTAATTAAGATTTACATGCAAGTACTCAACTGAATAGGATTTTAATGGTAGAACTGTGCATATTATGCTTGGCAGCAGAAGGATTTAATTTGGGGGTCTCTAGTTTGTTAAACTGCACAGCTATGTTGATTAGTCAATATGCCTGGTGATACAGATTGGCTGCTATGTATCTTGACTCAGATAACAGAACTTGCACTTCTGCTTTTATGAGTACTGAAGTTTGAAGTAGCTGAGTTAATATTCCTTCCCTGCTAGCAAGGAGGTAAAATAAAGTGAGGCTTAGTATGAGAAGTATTTGCTGTGCAGGTCTCGAAGCAAGTCAACAGGAGAATCAAACAGGCCCTGTGTTCAGCCAACAGTGACAAGAAGCCGAACAATCTGTAATCAAAATTCTATATTCTCTTATAGTTAAATATTAACACTTCCTGCATGTGACATGCAAGCTAATGCTTGGCTGCTTGCCACATGCAAGAATATAAGAGAGATAATTCAGTGCAATCAGATGGGTAACAAGGCCCTGGACGGCCTGATTTAAAAGTCCTCATTATTTCAGAATTATCAAAGAAAAGCAAGAAAAACCAGGGTAAGCCAACATATGCCAGAAATGATAAAGACAGTCACAGATGTGGGTTTTTTTTTTTAAGAAAACAAGACACAACTGTATCAGGAAAAAAACCCAAACCCTTAACATGGCATTGGTCCAGTATTAAATGGGAAAAGCAGAAGAGTAAATAAAGATACAGGAAAAGTAGGGATAATTCAGCGATTATTCTTGCTCGATATTCAGAAAAACAACATATAATATGGTTGTATCACTTCATTAATAAGTAGATATATCCAATCATATCAATGGAAAGTTGCAAAAAGGGATCTTTTAAAGCTAGGCACACCAACACCAAGTAGACCTGGACAACATAATCAAAGTAGTATTAAAATTAAGTAGCTGAGGAGCTTTTTCCATTATGAATGTTGACTTTATGCAACTCTTGGAGAACAAAAGCAATTTTAAATAAATAAAAGAAAGCTGAGAATGCTTAAAAACAGGGAAACTAGAATAGTGTAAGTATCTTAAATACTGGTAATGTAAAGCTGATCACTGCAGAACAAAAGAGGAGCTAATATTATTTCCCTGCTGTCCAAACAGAGGATTCAATGAAAAACAAATGAAAGGAGGGTAAAACAATTATCACCAATTCAATTTTGTTATTTTTGGGAAAAAAGAAAAAGAGAAGAGAAAAAAAAAAGGAAAAGAGAAAGGAAAAGGAAAGAAAGAAAAAGGAAAAGAAGAAAGGAGAAGAAAAAAGACATGGTGAGGTGGTGGTGTTTTCACAAAGAGAATAGCTTTCTCTGGTAAGAGGTATCATTAAACACAAGGTGTATTATGAAAAAAAAACCCAAACACACTTTTGTAGGAAACTTTCCTTTCAACTACACTATACATAACTATACCATGCCTTTCAAACACCTTCCCCCACCCCCTGCAACTTAGGGGATTTGTTGCTATTACAGACCTCACTCTGCTTGTGTAATGTCCTTTTCCCCTAGGATGTGATTCTCTTTTCTACTTAAAACATGCTTACCTCTTTCACAGCATACTGTACAGAGCCTAGCAGAAGATAGAGGTACTCCTGGTTATTTCTTAGGTTTTTTTCATATCTATATACACACAGAGTTCTGCCATGCCTAAGAGCTTTTCCAACTTGCATTTACCTATATCTGTCCTCAGAAATCATAAACCTAATCCCATCCCTAAAATGCAGGAGACACCAGTAGATTTAGCTGTCTACCCAGTGATCAAAAGCTGGGAAACACTTCTTTACAGCTCATTTATTCTGGTCCAGTCTAACAAAATTACAGCACGAGAATGGGCCAGGATTTAGATTTGGCCCCTGATTTGATAATGTTTTTTCACTTTGATGACAGATAGGAGCCTTGCTATGAGAAAGTATAATCAATCTTTTAATTCATGACATGTAGTGGAATAAAGATTAATATTTTTAATTGCATTCAAGCCTTTTTGGTTACCTAGTCAGAGAAGTGTGTGGAAGTATGCCACTATTCAGTTTTACTAGCTTCATAAGCACAAGGACACATTTTGAAGGCAGCATTCTGGGACATACATCCAAATAAAACTGCTCTTGTCTCTGCCACTTGTGCCTTTTTATCTTTCCACAATCCTTTATTCCAAGAACCTCACCTTATCTGAGAGAGTAACAAAATTGTCCATATCCCTTTCTGTTCCATCCCTCTCTTTTTCATGGACATACCCCTTTACTCAACTCTCCACTTTCAGCAAGCCCATTTATTCAGTCATCTCACATGAAGAGGCCCATGAAGTCAATCTCACCAGAATTTTCAAGAAAAAAAACCAACAACCCTAGCTTCAAGAAAAAAATCTAGTATGGAAAATTTAGGCTTGAATAGATTTTCAAAATTCCAAGTTTGAAAACTAAAACACTAAAACTAGTGGTAAAGCCCCTTACTTACATATGACATTACCAACCTTAATAGAAAGTTGACAAAGCAAACAGGTACATAAACAATAAAAGATCCACACCTTGCTTGTAAAATGCATACATTTTATTAAAACATACTGTAGTTTCAGGTCTTGTCTGTTTTAAGTCTGTACATGAAAAATTTATCTGATTCATTATTAAGTGTGTTGATATTTTACAGGAAAAATAAAATTTTACCTTTCATATACAAGAGAAAAAAAAATGACATCTTTATGAGGGATTCATCCTAAGACAATTTAATTACATGCTGGAATTAGCACAAAACCACAATTCAAGACTCCTACTCCTGATAAAGTCACTTAAGATACATGAGTTAAATGCCTAGGTCTCTTGGATTTGGAAATGTTCTCTCTACCTATTCATAAACCCTTTCCACATCCACTTCACTTTGTATAATAAGGGTGATATGAAATACAACATAATAAGATGATAGAAACCCTGAAGGGAATAATTTAGAGTATTTATTTTAATATGATATATAATTACCTTGCAATATACCAAGAGTAGTATGTTAAAGTTTCTTGACTGAAAGCAGGCACTGCTGTCCTGAAATTGATCAAAACCCCCTGCATTTCAGTAGATGCAATGTGCAAAACCAATGACATGGGTACCAATGTTACCATCAATACCATTAATAACCACATTACTATGTATGTCACCAGTCCCAAATGCACAGTACATGTACACTTCACACATTCAAAGGCCATTAAGCTTCAGAAACCTAATTCACAGCCTCCATGGAAATTAATATGTGCTTGTGGAAATGCCAGTGTGTTGAATCCTACCATGAAGAACAGAAATGTATGCACTTAAGATAGACATGCTCCTCTCAGAACATTGCACAACCCTGTGTTCTCTGCTAACCTTGTACTTGTTTATCCTTAATGTAGTGAAACCTTGGAATGCACAAATTCCACATGGACTTCAAGGGAATGCTCAGGAGCAGATTCTGCCTAGAGAAGCAAGATTTTAATGCTTGTGGCAACATGATCAATCTTTTAATTTGCTACAGCCAGAACGGAAACTGAGTCCAAGCAAGAGGTCAGAACAGGCATTTTATATTCTCTGTTAAAGGAGGGGAGAAAAAAAATGTCTTTGAGGAGTAAAGTAAGTAGCTAATGAGACACAGCACTGACAGCTGGAACTTAATAAGTATCCACTTCACAAGGAAAATTTCTCTTAGTAATTAAATACAGGTATCATACAAAGCTTCTGCTTAGAGCCTGACTTCAAAATCCTTCTGTCAGTAGGACTGAATGGGTTTTACACCCCAGGTAATATAAGGGTGAGTTTGCCTGGGAGGCTAGTCCTAAAAGACGAGGGTTAATTGCATAAAATTCACAGTCATGTCAGTGGTAAATAATTCCAAAGGGACTTGTTCAGATAGTAGTCTGGCATTACTGAAAAACAGATTGCAACTAAAAAGACCCGTTATAAAGCCCACCAAAACCTGAGACACATAAAAAGTTTATTAGTCATTGCAGAACTAAAATGCAAACAAGATCTTTTTAGAAGGATCCAAAATTCTTTACGTTCCAGGTCTGCAGGGCCATAAAACTCTACCTGAGAAAATTTTAAACAATCTTCTAATTAATCACAGGATTTTATAACCTCTCACAAGTTTTAAGTAAAACATTAACAAGATAGGGAGAAGGAAGTCCTCTTTGCACTAAGCATGATTCCTAACCCCATTGAAATACACCACTAGAAGAAGCAGGTTAGAATTCAACATCAAACTGAGACTGTAATGGATACTAGCACACAAAGATGGCGTAAGTCTCCAAATTACTGGGAGAATCTAGCAGATCAGAGTCTAATCCTTTTTCGGTAATTTGTGACACCACTGTCAAAATAAGACAGCATAACATACTCTTAAGATAATAAAATTAATATCCCTAAAAAGACATCTTGATCCTCACTTAATTAGCAGTCAAACAGATCACTGTATCACAAAAAGAAAGCAGTTCAAGTATCTAGATGGCTGAGTGTTTTTATCAGCTACATCCAGTAGATTTGTATTCATTCAGGCATGTGTAACACATTTTCACAGCTGTATTTACCTCAGTGCAAAAGAGCACTGACATTGCAATACATGTTTTAACCTACCTCATAGTACATGGGCACATCCTTAACCTTTTTTCCTTTTTGATTCCCGGACTCTCTGATCTGCAAGGAAATAAAGTATTCCACTGTGAGAAGATCTGAAGTTTACACAAGTTACATTTCATTCATTATTCCCCTTTGCAAACACTACACTCACACTCCAGAATAATGAGGAATCACCTTACGGGACCCCTGTACCTTAGGGAAGGAACTTTCGTGATCAGCACCTTTAAGAAAAGTCTGTAACTAAACCTCACTATTTAGAAGGAGCAGACAAGCTTACAGAGTAAGCTTTTAGTTTTCCATTTTCAATTCCTATGAATTAGTGTAACTTTTAAAACTTCCACAGAGTAATTCAATCAAACATGAAATTTATAGTTACCACAGACCAAAGAAAATAGTATCTAGAAGTGAGATTTAGGGTTCGGCTTGTTATTAGAAGTTCCATTCTTGGAATACCTGTTTGTAAGTATCTTCATAAGTTATCACACTGAAGAGCTTCCGCTGTGGCACCTGCACAGCGAGAGACAGGGCCTTGGTGTGAAGCTGGTCCTCAATTTTGTTCCCCACAACAAAAGCAATGCTAGGCTTCCAGTCATCCTACTTCCCAAAAGAAAATATGTAAGATATTAAAACACAAGCAAACAAAAGCACTTCTCTGGAAGTTTCAAGAAGTAATCCTGAAAATGGGTTTACTCCCTTTATAACATATTCAACATCACTTAATTAATAATTCTGAAAGAAACTGTATACAACTGTATACAACTCGAAAAAGCACGTGCTACTTTCTCCAAATGCTTTCTGCCATCAGGTGGCAGCATTACGCTATGGAAAACACAAATACCTACTAAGAACGTCTACAAACCTCGTGGGCAAACGCTGCATTAGCATCACGCAAAGATAAAGTAACTTTCAAATGTAATTTGCATATTTGACAGCTCAGTAAGCAAACAAGAAGTGAATTTTGGCTACCTGTATAGTTGTCATTATTTGTTGTAGGAAAAAAAATTGTTAAACAAATTTCTGCTTCCTCATCCCAGGAATTAGATAATGCCCAGATATTACTTTCTGAAAACTGTAGCATTATTTGAATGATGTTTTATAAGAATATATATATGCATACCACGGTTCCTACATGGTTTCACTAAGCATTCTGAACTAAGAATAGTTATCAATGGCAAGTTATATTTCACTACAATATTGACAAACTAAACCCATCAGCAGTTCTCAAATAGTTGGAGTAAAACACATATTTTTATGAAAAAAAACAACCCTGATTTCAGCATTAAAGAAATGCAGAACTAGAGAAGATTGTAACACATTACTTACTGTAAAACGCTTAAAAATGATGTAATTTAAGCAACTTTTCCCGGTTACTCTTCCATTTTGTTCTGCTTTAACCTACTGGATGGAATCTCTTTCACAAAATGAGTGGCTATCTTCAGCACACCTACATCTCACTCCAGAGTACTGTCTATAAGCATCAGTGATGCCTGAACCATAAGCACTTCCAATGTTTGTGCAGTACGCTCTTCAGGAACCACCAAATTACTGTTTTCATTGCACATCTGCACGTGTAAACTGCAAAGATCTTGAGAGAGCTGCATGAAGGTAAATATGGAAAGAGCTTCACTAAGATCAAGGTTGTTCCGGGACACTGCCAGGCTAATCAGGACCAGACTAAGCAGCACCCTGTAACAGTCCAGTGTGCATCACAGCAAAGAAAGATTTTAAAAACAAATTGGAGAGTGGTGACTTGAGGATTTTGATGGAAATATTTTCATATGGGTATATTTTGTACAAAGTCTTTGTGAAAAGAGGAACAAAACTGGAGTTGACAGTAAAGTGAGGGAAAGGACCTTTAAAAAATCAGATGCAAATGGTAAAACGAGAAGTTTCTTGCTCCAGGTCTGTTGTACTCTTCTTCATTTTTTCCTGTTCTTAGCTTTGAAAAAAGCCTACTCAAAATGTTTGCCATGTTTGCTGACTTGGGATGGGAGAAAACAACAATTGATCTAAGTTTTAAACTAAAAATGCTTGCATGGAGGGAAATAGTTCATCATACTCTTAAGGTAAAAAAGCGTGACATCACATGAATGTGGCACAATGTGCTTATACATACATGGCCCTTTTAGAACCACAGAATATTCAGAGAAATAAAAAAAGATGGAAAGATCACCTGGGGCACTAAGTGTCGTCTTCTGAAACTGCACATATCTACAAAGCAGACACTTAATCCAAAAGGGCCACTACAATTCCACACATCATAAACTCCCTTGGTGTTTTACAGCAGCACAAAATAAAACTTAAGTTTCTAGAATTACAAAATGCAGGAGTGTACAAGCATATCACTGATGTTCTAGGGGTATGCAAACACGATGGAATTTGTGAGTGTCCAGCTGGCCTGCAGCAGTGGTCACAGCTCAATGTTGAAGTGGCAGCAGCCATGGCCTGTGTGGGGACTGCAACAAGTACCCTGAAGTTCTTTTTCCCCTTTCTAGTTGGGGGAGGGAGGATGGGGGATGAAACCTCCTCATCCTTAAAGTTGCCAAGATAGCTACTGGTACACTATGAAAGAGCCAGGTATTCCAGTATTATCACCAAAACACATGCAAAGGAGTTACAGTTAACTGGGATTAAAGTTGTCATTGCATAGCTGCCAAGAATTGGACACAAATCCTTTACCATTCTTTGAACAGAGAGCATTTAGATGTCCATACTTGTGTTTTTAAATGCATAATTTTCTAGGCTTTTGTTCTGGTTTGGTGTGTTTTTTGGTAGCAGGGAAAGGCCACAGTCGTAGCTCTGGTAAGAAGCTGAGAATCTCTCCCTGCTCCAAACCCAGCCAAGGAGCCATTAGGGGGACAACAGATGTGCCTCAGCGATTAACATATGAAAGAGCAGAGGAGCACTTAAGGGAGAAGAGCTGTGCTAGGGGATTAAAGCTGTGCTGGTAGTTGGTGAGGAAGAAGGGGAAGAAGCTGCCCAAGCAAAAGTTTCCCTGAAACCCATGGAGGAACATGGTAGAACATTCCCTGAAAGCACCAGAAGGGGTGACCTTGGCCACTGGACTTGGATTTTGTGGCCAGAGGATTTGCTGTCAATGGACTCTGATTATGCAGCTTTGGAAGACCCCGGCACCAGGGGAGTTTGTTCCCAAAGGAGCCCGTGACTCTGTGGGAAGCCCAGGCTGGAGCAGCTCCGGACCTCGTGGGAAGGACTCATGAAGGAGAGGTTCGTGGAGGACTCTCTTCCATGGGAGGGACCTCGTGGGGAAGCAGGGAAGGACTGTGAGGAATCCTTCTGTCTGAGGAGGCAGGAGCGGCAGGAACCACCAGCCTGTGAAGTGACTCTAAACCCCATCCCCTGTCCCCCTGTGCTGCTGGGGGGAAGGAGGGAGAGAAACCGGGAACAAAGGGATTTGGGCCCGGGAAGAAGGGAGGGGTGGGGTAACATATGCAAGCCCCGCTCTGTGTGTGTGTCTGTGTCCTGTGTGTGTTTGAAATTAAATTATTATTTTTCCCCAGGTTGAGTCTGTTTTGCCTGGGACCTTGATCTGTGAAGAACCCTCCTTGTCCTTTGTCTCAGCCCAGGAGCTTTGTCCTCATCCCAGAGTGTGTGTGTGTGTG